CCTGCTGGCCCCGAGAAGCCTCTGCAGAGATGGGTCCGGCTCCTCCCCGCACCAACAGCTGGGACACAGCTGGACAGCATCGCTCCGTGGGGAAGGGGCAGAGCCCCGGGGAAGGGGCAGAGCCGGGCCCGGGGAAGGGGAGGGAACGGGTCCCGAGCTGCTGGGGGCTCATTCCCGCGGTTCCGGGATCAGGAATGGTTCTGCAGGAGTCCAAGGTCCACCTCATGGACACGGAGCTCTGCAACAGCAGCCGCTGGTACTCGGGGGCCGTTCATGCTGACAACCTGTGTGCTGGGTACCCGCAGGGTGGCATCGACACCTGCCAGGTAGGAGCCCCCACACACAGCCCAGCCTGTCCTGTGTGAGCCCCAAAAATACAGATGTGACCCTGGAACATCTGTCCTCCACACATCTGGGACCCACCTGCAGAGATGGGAGAGCCCCCGACCTGCTCCCAGCCCAGGGCCTGGAGGCTCTGGACCCTGAGCTGAACCTTCCCAGGCTGGGAATGCAGACCTGGCAGAGGCTGGGAGAGAGGAGCAAACCCTGGGATGGGAGAGAGGAGAAAACCCTGGGGATGGGAGAGAGGAGATAACCCTGGGGATGGGAGAGAGGAGCCAACCCTGGGATGGGAGAGAGGAGCAAACCCTGGGATGGGAGAGAGGAGAAAACCCTGGGGATGGGAGAGAGGAGCCAGCCCTGGGGATGGCAGCAGCCCACCACAGCCTCTGAGCCTTCTCTCCTGGCACAGGGGGACAGTGGGAATCCTCTCATCTGCAAGGACAACAGAGCCGACTACTTCTGGCTTGTGGGAATGAACAGCTGGGGAAAAGGCTGTGACAGAGCCAGGCACCCCGGGGTCTACACCTCCACTCAGCACTTCTACAACTGGATCCTGCTCCAGACGGGCCTGAGCCCAGCTGACATATCCGGTCCAGCACCAGAGCTGAACTGCACCCCGACTCGTGAGCCAGAGGTCACCTCGACTTCTGCTGAGACCCCGATACCGGAGCCGGAACCAGAGCCGGAACCAGAGCCAGAACCAGAGCCAGAGCCAGTGCCAGAGCCTGAACCAGAGCCAGAACCAGAGCCAGAGCCAGTGCCAGAGCCGGAACCAGTGCCAGTGCCAGAGCCAACACTAGAGTCAGAGCCGGAACCAGAACTGGAACCAGAGCCAGAGCTGGAACCAGAGTCAGAACCAGAGCTGGTGCCAGAGCCAACGCCAGTGCCAGTGCCAGAGCCAGTGCCAGAGCCAGTGCCAGAGCCAGAGCCAGTGCCAGAGCCAGAGCCAGTGCCAGAGCCAACACTAGAGTCAGAGCTGGAACCAGAACTGGAACCAGAGCCAGAGCTGGTGCCAGAGCCAGAGCCAGTGCCAGTGCCAGAGCCGACGCTAGTGCCAGTGCCAGAGCCAGAGCTGGAACCAGAGCCAGTGCCAGTGCCAGAGCCAACTCTAGTGCCAATGCCAGAACCAGAGGAGGAACCACAGCCAGAGCCAGAGCCAGAGCCGGCCCCGGAGGCAGAGCCGGTACCAGAGCCAGAGCCGGCCCCGGAGGCAGAGCCGGCCCCGGAGGCAGAGCCGGTACCAGAGCCAGAGCCGGCCCCGGAGGCAGAGCCGGCCCCGGAGGCAGAGCCGGTACCAGAGCCAGAGCCGGCCCCGGAGGCAGAGCCGGCCCCGGAGGCCGAGGAGCCGGTGCCGACACGGGAAGCGGACCGGCTTCTGCTCATCTCGGTGCCGTACCGGAGCCTGCTGAAGTTCTGTGACCTGCTCAGGAATTTCCTGCGGTTCCTGAGGGAGCAGCTGGGCTGAGCCGGAGGATGAGCAGAGCCGCTCGTGGCTGCTCCGTGCCGGAGCCGCGCCCGCGGGGCCCGAGGCAGCCGCAGCGCCCGGGGCCGCTCCGGCGCCCCCCGCCCTCCCCCGCGCCCACCCCACGCTGGAGCCGAGTTTGTTGTTGAAATAACGCTGCTCGTGCTGCCCGTTCACCGCGGTCTCGGCGCGATTCGGCCTCCCGGGCAGGGCAGGGAGGGGCCGGGCCGGGAGCCGGGAGGGGAACGAGCGGGGCCGGCCCCGGCGGGCGAGGAGACGAGCGCGGAGCCGGGGAGGAGCGGGGAAAGCGCTTTAATGCCGGAGCGGCCCGGGAGCGGAGCGGCTCCAGCCGGGAGCCCCGCGGGCCCGAGGGACGCGGAGGTGCGGGAGGTGCCACCCTGAGCTGCCGCCGCCACCCGGGGCCGTCCCCTCTGTCGGCAGCTGCGGCCTCGGGGGCTGCCGGGACCCCCATCCCGTTCCCCCGTGCGCATTTGGGATCCCGGCCCCCGGGACATCCCCTCTGCTCCCGCGGGGTCGCTGCTCCAAAGAGCTGTCCTGGCTCTGGACGAGGCGCTGCAGCCCCGGGGCACCCCCGGGACGAGTCCGGGACCCCGCATTCCGCGATCCGCCCGTGCCTGGAGGTGCTTCGGGCTGGCCCGGCCGTGCTGGCCCGGCTGCCAGCGGAGCTCGCCCTTCACGGGTATCCTCAAGGCTCGGCGCTGCCCGGACCCCCGTCCTGCCGGGACCCCTCGAGCCGTGGGGGCGGGCGGGGGGTTCGGGGGGCTCGG